CTTTATTTAATTATTTCCTGCATTTATTTATTTATTTATTTATTTATTCATTTATTTATTTTCATCCGCTTCCATGTCCCGGTCACTGATGGGCTGTTTATTTAATTATTCCAAGAGTTCAAAGCATGGCCTCGTTTTCTATATGAATCTCTGTCTGCTGAGAGCGTCAATGGAAGCAAGCTATCCATGTGCCCAGTGATCCTCCGTTACCCAATAGGAACACTTCCGTATCTCTTAGGTTATGTTTCTAACGAGTCCTAATCCATTATCCCATTAGGACGAAAGCGTAGAAGAAGGAAAGCGAGAAGGAAGGAAGGAAGGACAGGATGGGGAGAGGGAGGAGGGCCTGAGCAAAGGGCCCGAGGAGCCACCTCCGGCCCCCGGACCTGGGTTTGTCCATACCTGATCTAGATCCCTCGTACATACAGTGTTCCTCAACCTTCCCAATGTTGCAACCCCTTAATACAGCTCTTCAGGTTGTGGTTGATGGGCCCCCAACCATCACATTATTTCTGTTGCTACTTCACAACTGTCGTTTTGCTCCTGTTGTGAATCATCATGTAGATAATCTGATATGCAGGATGCATTTTCATTCACTGGACCACATTGGGCACAAATACCCAATACGCCCAAATTTGAATACTAGTGGGGTTGGGAGTTGGGAGTTGCAGTTGCTGGGATTTATAGTCCACCTACAATGAAAGAGCATTCTGAACCCCACCAACAATGGAATTTGATCAAACATCGCACACAGAACTCCCCTGACCAACAGAAATATATTGGAAGGGTTTGGTGGGCATTGACCTTGAGTTCTGGAGTTGTAGTTCACCTACATCCAAAGAGCACTGTGGACTCAAACAATGATGGATCTGGGCCAAACTTGGCACAAGCACTCACTATGCCCAAATGTGAACACTGGTGGAATTTGGGGAAAATAGACCTTGACATTTGGGAGTTGTAGTTGCCGGGATTTATAGTTCACCTACCATCAAAGAGCATTCTGAACCCCACCAATGACAGAATTGGGCCAAACTCCCTCCACAGAACCCCCATGACCAACAAAAAATACTGTGTTTTCTGATAGTCTTTGGCTAGTCATCCACAGGCGTAGAGAACATTTTAGTTAAAAACATTGTTTCTCTTTATTTATTTATTTAAATCCTGAAAGATTGCCGTACTTACTGATAGTCTTCATTAAATTTTGGATGATCTTTGTTGGGTCCTCTAAAATACAAACCATATCATCCCCATCAGCCTTAACTTTACAATCATGCCCTTTTATTTTTGCTCCTTTAAGACACCTATCTTCTCTCATTCTAATGTTAAATTTTTCTACTCTCAAATAAACAGTAAAGGCAACAGAGGACAACCTTGTCTCCTCCCTTTTTTCTCTCTGTAGGAATTGACAATTGAATATTTATTCTCAGTTTAGATCTTTGTCTTGAGCATCGCATCTACAGCCCTTTAAAATTGCTGACCAAACGCATACCGGGCCAATACCTTTTCCAAAAATTCCCAACAGACATTGTCAAAGGCTTTATCTGCATCTAAAAATAGTAGTAGCACAATATCTTTATCAGGGTCCTGTTCTGTAACCTCTAAAATACAGTGTTTACCACTCTGCTCACATTCTGGCTTAACTGCCTGCCTGGAAGAAAAACTACTTGATCTCCATCTAATATTTTTACTAAGTTTTGTTTCAATCCATTTGCTAAAAATTCTGCAAATAATGTGTAATCACAATTTACTAACGAGATTGGTCTGAAATTCTGAACTTGTTCCATATCTCTATCCTGGTTAGAACTGTAATGACTGGAATAATCATGCCAGAGGACCTCCAAAGACTTGGGAAAGGAATCTCTATGTCTTCCAGTTGTATTTGGAGGATCAAGGGATTCCTCGTGGGAACATGCTCAACACATCTGCAAATAATCAGATGTGCAAAACTGAAAAGAAAATGCAAATCTGTAGCGCCAAATGCATGTTGCTCATTCATGAAAGCAGCAACAGAACCTCAGAAGCATTTGCGGTGGACAATGGTCGGGCCAGCCTCATCGTATTCCTCCTTGCTGATACACATATCCCGGAAAGTGGAGAGAGAAGCCAGGCAGGACCCCCCAATCCACACTGAGTTCTTCTGTTCGGGAGGATTGATGATATTGATCTTCATGTTCTTTGGAACCAGGGCTGTCATCTCTGCGTGCATCCTCTCCGCAAAGCCAGGGAACATGGTGCTCCCACTTGCTAGCACTGTGTTGGCATAGAGGTATGGACGGAGGTCACTGTCGCATTTCATGATGGTGTTGAAAAGACACTCATGTGTGCCACATGACTCTTGCCCCAATAAAGAGGGCTGGAAGAGGGCCTCGGGGCACCGAAAACACTCATTCCCGATGGTGATCACCTTCCCGTCTGGCATCTCATAGCTCTTCTCCAATGAGGGGGAGGATGCAGCGGTGGCCATCTCCTGATCAAAATCCAAGGCGACGTAGCAGAGCTTCTCCTTGATGTCCCTCACCATCTCTCTCCTTGCCTCACTGGTGAAGCTGTAGCCCCTTTCCGTGAGGAGCTTCAGGAGATAGTCAGTCAGGTCTTGACCACACGGGCAGCCACGCATAAGAGCACGCTGCAAGATGTGACCTTCATAGATGGGCACAATTTCACCATCATTGTTTCGTATATTAAGGACCACTCCTGTGATTCGAGACGAGGCGTACAGAGACAGCACCTCCTGGACAGCCACATACATGGCAGGCGTGTTGAAGGTCTCAAACATGATCTGTGTCATCTTCTCCCGGCAGTGAAAGGGGTTGATGGGTCGTTGAGTGAGCAAGACCGGGTGCTCTTCAGGGGCCACTCGCAACTCATTGTAGAAAGTGTGGTGCCAGATCTTCTCCATGTCGTCCCAGTTGTGGATGATTCCATATTCTACGGGGTACTTCAGGGTCAGGATGTCTCTCTTGCTCTGGGCTTCCGCTCCCACATAGACGTCCTTCTCTGCCCCGCTGCTCCTCCCAACAACAGAGGGGAAGACAACGCTCGGGGAATCACATCCCGCATATCCGGCTTTGCACGTCCGATTGCCGTTGATCACAAACAGAACGGGCCTATTGTTATCCGCCATTTCCGAGCCGACCTGCAGGGAAAACAAGCAGACAGGGAAGTATTGGTGAAGTATTATTCAGAGTGAATCACATTCCAGGTGAGAAATTGGATATGCAGTCACGCCTCCACACTTGCATTTTGCTTTGTACATCCGATGGTCGTTGATCACAAACAGAACGGGCCTATTGTTATCCGCCATTCTGCGGGAAAACAAGCAGACAGTGAACTGGTGAAGTCTTATCCAGAGTGAACCACGCCCCAGGTATTTTCTTGCTGGCGGATTCACATTGTTAGCATTGCGATGCCTTGCCATTTTGAAAAGCGTACGTGTGCACGCTTCCAGCCCAATAGTCATAACATAAGCACTCACTTGAGAAGTGTGGACAGTTGAGAAGGTTTCATCCACAAGTGAGAGAGAGTAAAAAAAGAAATGTAGTCAAACGTATATGCTTAAATCATTTTAATTGAGAGAAAGCAGGTAAAGGGAAGAAAATAACAAAGTCAGGCATCACTCACAGACTTGCTACCAAAAATCAACAAAATCGGCATAAATTAATTCCTACTTCTTAATTATTCTAAATTGACATTTAAGACAACGGCTATTTCTGACCAGATAGATTCCTGTAGAAAAAACAAGGCCAGTTGATGCATGAAATCCTTCGGAGTGCATTCGGTGCACCCATACCACAGAACTAATGTAGTCAGACCCCACTTGAACTGCCATTGTCACGTATCATGTTCTGCAGCTGATGGTGGTTGGTGGTGGCAGGCTTGGCAGTTGGTAATGGAAGGGGTTAATCTTAGTTCTAAAGGGCTGAGTAACCTGTAAGTAAGAGTTTATGGGTGAAAGCAGTTAAGGGTGGAGGCATGCAAGGGGCAGGTCGCAGTTGGCTTTAACTGGTTATAAGGAGCTAGCCTGGAGACTGATCTCGGGAGAAAAATATTTGTCCTCTTTTAGTTGTGGATGCTGCTGGTTTTCTCCCCCAGGTTTGTGGATTTTCAGTATCCTGACCTGTCTCCTGAACTCTTGGAACCCTGGAACCTTCAATCTCTGGGCCGGCTATTGACTACGGGATAGACTCTTGATCCTTGGACTTTACTCATTGAATCCTCGGTGTTTGGCCTTTGGACTGGACCCTTTGACTACTCTGTTCTCTTGAACTTGCATCAGCATTTGCTATCAGTCTTTGTTTTATATTCTGTGGCTGAGTGCTCTCTTTATGTTTTACATTTGGACTATGAAAAAGCCAGAAAGTAAGGTCTGCTTTAATTAAACAGTTTGACACAAGCTGGGTCTTTGTTTTGGTTCACCTCTGCCTGCGTACTGGCAGAGCCCCGGCAACGTGACAACCATGGTTGAATACTATGGATACTGGGAGTTATAGTTTGGTGAGGCACTAGCGCTCTTTGCCACAGGGGTGAAAGGCCTTGTACATTGACAACTCCCATAATTCTGTAGTATTGAGCCATAGCCAGTCCAGTGTTGTCAAGCAGCATTAATTCCACAGTGTAGATACTCCCTGAGTCAGGAAGGATGCTGAATTCGAGATGGCATTGGATGGCAGAATATATTTCTCAATTCCCCTTTTCATATTCACTACTGTGTTGGCATGTGATTGATTGGCCATCCAGGGCTGCTGTGTAAAAGATTTGAAATCTGCCTACAGCATTGCAATCAGACCTCCACATTCACTGAGGAACAAAAGTGGAAATAATTCAAATTATATTGACACTTATTTTTCTGGGGAGTACCCTGCTCTGTCACAATGCAATATGATGTATGGTTTGAATGGAATTGTATGAAAGATGAATGAATGAGAGCTAATAATTTTGGAGACAGAGTTCTGAAGGAACGAGGCCTAGAAAATGTTGCTGAATTGCTGACATTGATAGGAACTGTGACAAATGATTTAATGCTCCCCATGCTCTATTCCGCTTTGGTTAGACCACTTTACCTGGAATATTGTGTCCAATTCTGGGCACCACATTTCAAGAGAGATATTGACAAGCTGGAATGTGTCCAGAGGAGGGCGACTAAAAGGATCAAGGGTCTGGAGAACAAGCCCTATGAGGAGCGGCTTAAGGAGCTGGGCATGTTTAGCCTGAAGAAGAGAAGGCTGAGAGGAGATATGATAGCCATGTATAAATATGTGAGAGGAAGCCACAGGGAGGAGGGAGCAATCTTGTTTCTGGAGAACAAGCCCGATGAGGAGTGGCTTAAAGAGCTGGGCATGTTTAGCCTGAAGAAGAGAAGGCTGAGAGGAGATATGATGAGAGCCATGTATAAATATGTGAGAGGAAGCCACAGGGAGGAGGGAGCAGATCAAGGGTCTGGAGAACAAGCCCTATGAGGAGCAGCTTAAGGAGCTGGGTATGTTTAGCCTGAAGAAGAGAAGGCTGAGAGGGGATATGATAGCCATGTATAAATATGTGAGAGGAAGCCACAGGGAGGAGGGAGCAAGCTTCCTTTCTGCTTCCCTGGAGACTAGGACGCAATGGAGCAATGGCTTCAAACTACAAGAGAGGAGATTCCACTTGAACATGAGGAAGAACTTCCTGACTGTGAGAGCCGTTCAGCAGTGGAACTCTCTGCCCCAGAGGGAGGGAGTGTGGTGGAGGCTCCTTCTTTGGAAGCTTTTAAGCAGAGGCTGGATGGCCATCTGTCAGGGGTGATTTGAATGCAATATTCCTGCTTCTTGGCAGAATGGGGTTGGACTGGAGGATGGCCCAGGAGGTCTCTTCCAACTCTTGGATTCTAGGATTCTATTGACATTGCTGACTTGATTAACTTCAGGAAAAACAACGTTTTTACATTAGTCGAAAGCAATGGCTCGTTAAGTTAAGGTAATGTTTACAAGGTTTCCTTACATTAAGAAGGAAGTAAACCCAAGGCTGCTTCTGTTTACCAACACCAATCAAGAAGAGTCAACATCTGCTGGGAAACTGATGAATGCTTCAAGCTGGAAAAACATCTATCATTCATTTACAACTTTGGAACAACATCACTAGAAATACTGCTATATAAGAGACCGTATTATAACCCAAAAGTGTGACAGACAGCTGCGATGTTCACCTGCCATGCTCTGCTCCATGGGAAGGATAGAGATGGTGCATGCAATTGGGGGAATGTCAGATCTGCCATGGAAAGCAGGATTCTGGACACTTGGCCTCCTTTTCTCAAGGAAAGAGAAAGAAGTGCGGTTTCAGAGTCACGCTCTTAGGGAAAGACGATGCATTTTGGCACTTGGTGCATTGACAGATTTGCAAGGAAGCAGGTGTTCTTCTCCAAGGAGGGAGAAAAGATATGGTGATATTTAGATGCATGAAGATGAATGAATGTTGGTGTGGATGTGAATGCTGAGTAAAATGTAACCCCTCCTTTGTTTGTTTGTTAGCCGATGAAACTGAAAGCTGTTTGTGAATTCAATGTAGTTACGTAGGATCTGAATGTCTATTTGTCCAATGTCGTTCTTTGTGTAAAAGTGTAAACGTTGTGATCTACCCTCTCACACTGAAAATTGCAATAAAAAGAACCTTTCTTTAAAAAGGATTCATGACATCTCTGGCAACCTCTCAGTCCTCTAGTACAATTCTGTGGTCAATGTTTGCTGGAAGAGTCGTGTCACAGGACCTTCAGAGGCCTAGCGAGAGCATCTCTAAGTCGTCCAGTTAAGTTTGGAGGGCCACGAGATTCCGAATGGGAACATGCTCAAAACATCTGCGAATAATCAGGTGCACAAAAGTGAAAGCCTTTGCGGTGGACAATGGTCGGGCCAGCCTCGTCGTATTCCTCCTTGCTGATACACATGTGTCGGAAAGTGGAGAGAGAAGCCAGGCGGGACCCCCCAATCCACACTGAGTTCTTGTGTTCAGGTGGATCGATGATATTGATCTTCATGTTCTTTGGAGCAATGGCTGTCATCTCTGAGTGCATCCTCTCCACAAAGCTAGAGAACATGGTGCTCCCACCTGCTAGCACGGTATTGGCGTAGAGGTATGGATGGAGGTCAGTGTCGCAGTGCCTGATGGTTTCCCACAGACCCCCATGTGTGCCGCCTGACTCTTGCTCCATGAGCAAGGGTTGGAAGAGGGCCTCGGGGCACCGAAAACGCTCATTCCAGATGGTGATCACCTTCCCATCTGGCATCTCATAGCTCTTCTCCTGCTCAAGATCCAGGGCGACGTAGCAGAGCTTCTCCTTGATGTCCCTCACCATCCCTCTCCTTGCCTCATTGGTGAAGCTGTAGCCCCTTTCCGTGAGGAGCTTCAGGAGATAGTTGGTCAAGTCCTGACCACACATGAAGAAACGAAAAAGAGAACGTGGCAAGACGCGACCTTCATGAATAGGCACAATTTCACCATAGTTGTTTCGTATATTAAGGACCACCCCAGTAGTTCGAGACGAGGCGTACAGAGACAGCACCGGCTGGATGGCCACATACATGGCAGGCGTGCTGAAGGTCTCAAACATGATCTGTGTCATCTTCTCCTGGCTTTGTATGGGGTTGAGGGGCCGTTCAGTGAGCGAGACCGGGTGCTCCTCAGGGGCCACTCGCAACTCATTGTAGAAAGTGTGGTGCCAGATCTTCTCCATGTCGTCCCAGTTGTTGACGTATCCATGTTCCATGGGGTACTTCAGGGTCAGGATGTCTCTCTTGCTCTGGGCTTCCGCTCCCACATAGACGTCCTTCTCTGCCCCACTGCTCCTCCCAACAACAGAGGGGAAGACAACGCTTGGGGAATCGCGTCCCGCAAATCCAGCTTTGCACGTCCGATAGTCGTTGATCACAAACAGGACGGGCCTATTGTTATCCGCCATTTCCGAGTCAATCTGCGGGAAAACAAGCAGACAGGGAAGTATTGGTGAAGTCTTATCCAGAGTGAACCACGTCCCAGATATTTTCTTGCTGGCGGATTCACATTGTTAGCATTGCAATGCCTTCTAGTTCTGAAAAGTGTCCGTGTACGTGCTTCCAGTCCAATAGTCACAGCGTAAGCACTCCCTTGAGAAATGTGGACAGCTCACACCAGAAGCGACTTGCAGTTTCTCAAGTCACTCCTGACTCGTAAAAAAAAAAAGTTGAAAAGGTTTCGTCAATAAATAATGGAGAATTTGAAAAGAAATTTGGTCATATGTATATGCATAAATCATTTTATTTGAGAGAATGTCAGTGAAGGGAAGGCATTACGGCGTTAGATGTCACACATAGGCTTGCTATAAAGATTTATAAAATCAGTCCAGGTGAGCCAGGTGGTTTCATCTATCGGAGTTGAATCTCAGGTTTCAGAGCATTCATGGACATCCTTGCAGGGAAACATCTCTGCATTTTTGAATTCTGGAATGTGATCGTTCCAAGCAGAATGGAAATATATAAGAGCGAATATGAGGCCAGCAACAGCTGACCTCTTAGGACGGCGTCTGTCAACCTGGGGGCCGGGACCCTTCCAGTATTTTCTGTTGGTCATGGGAGTTCTGTCTGCCAAATTTGGTTCAATTCCATAGCTGGTGGAGTTCATTATGCTCTTTTTAGATGAACTATAAATCCCAGTTACAACTCCCAAATGTCAAGGTCTATTTTCCCAATACTCCACATTTGGGCATATTGAGTATTTGTGCCAAGTTTGGTCCAAATCTATCATTGCTTGAGTCCACAGTGCTCTCTGGATGCAGGTGAACTACAACTCCCAAACTCAAGGCCAATGCTCACCAAACCCTTCCAGTATTTTCTGTTGGTCATGGGAGTCCTGTCTGCCAAGTTTGGTTCAATTCCATCGTTGGTGGAGTTCTGAATGCTCTTTGAATGAAAGTGAACTATAAATCCCAGCAACTACAACTCCCAAATGACCAAATCAACCCCCACCCCACCAGTATTCAGTGTGCCAAATTTGGTCCAGTGAATGAACATACATCCTGCCTATCAGATACTTACATTACAATTCACATCAGTAGCAAAATTACAGTTATGGAGTAGCAACTAAAACAATGTGGTGATAATAATGTGAGGGTGGTCACCACAACATGAGGGACCGCATTAAGGGATCGCAGCATTAGGAAGATTGAGAGACACTGTCTGAGGAGAGACCCGTTCTTCCAGCCAAGATCAGGGAACAGGCAGTCTCTTCCCCTTTGGTCTACATCAGAACGTTCCTTTTTGCATTCGTGGTTGCTCCTCCTTTAGAAGGATGACGGTCTTCCTCGCGCTTGGTCTCGGTCCATGCCTTTCTTCTCCATGGGGAAAAGCGCAGTGAGTGCTAGACCCGCAATAGCAGGTGTAACACAGAAGTAATCGAGATGATCCAAGCCTTGGGTCAAGGACCTCCTTTCACTTGGATAGGAAGCATGAGCCATCTTATGTGGTGGGTCTCGGGCTGGCCTTGGTGTTCACGAGAACCATCACGTGGCACTCAGTCAGACTTGGGGTCCGGCAGTATTGCGTAATCACCTAAACCATTGGTCTGTTTGGGGGGGACAGCAGCTGTGGAGCTCAGAAGCATTTGCGGCGGACAATGGCTGGGCCAGCCTCATTGTATTCCTCCTTGCTTACACACATGTGTCGGAAGGTGGAGAGAGATGCCAGGAGCGAGCCTCCAATCCACACCGAGTTCTTGCGCTCAGAGGGAGCAGTTATATTGATCTTCATGTTCTTTGGAGCCAGGGCTGTCATCTCGGTGCCCATCCGCTCGGCAAAGCCGGGCAACATGGTGGTCCCACCGGCCAGCACAGTGTTGGCATAGAGGTCCTTCTGGAGGTCTTTGTCACAGTCTAAGATAGCTTTTAAGGCCACCTCATGGATGCCACGTGTACTGTTCCACGTCGGAGTTCTACCTGCCACCCAGGGTTGGAAGAGGGCCTCAGGGCACCTGAAACGTTCACTGCCGACGGTGATCACGTTCCCATCCGGCAGCTCATAGCTCTTCTCCAAGGTGGAGGAGGATGCAGCAGTGGCCATCTCCAATTCATAGTCTAGGGCAACGTAGCAGAACTTCTCTTTGATGTCCTTCACGATCTCTGTGCCATTCTTGAATCTGGAGATCCAGTCCTGCTGGGTACGCGAGAGGTAGGTGGTCAGGTGATTCCCACCCATTCCAAAATGTCTAATAGCACGTTCCAAGGCATGACCTTCATAGACGGGAACAATTTTAGCATGTCTACCTGTAACATGTATGACAACCCCTGTGGTCTGGCGAGAGGCATACAGAGACAGCACTGCCTGGATGGCCAAGTAGCAAGATGGCACGTGGAAGGTCTCAAACATAAGCTGCATTAACTTCTCCTCGTGGCAATTTCGGCTAGTGTGGTGTTTGGTAAGCAGGAGTGGATACTCCTCTGGAGCCACCTGCAACTCATTGTAGAAGATATGGTGCCAGATCTTCTCCATGGCATCCCAGTTGTTGATGCCAAAGACATCTGGGTAGCTGAGATCCAGCTCGTCTCCTTTGCTCTGGGCTTCCTTGCCCACAAAGATGTCCTTTTCCCAACGGTTTTTCCCAACAACAAAAGGAAACACGGTGGTTGGGGCATCATGCCCAGCAAGTCCTGCTTTGCATACTCTACTGCCATTGACAACAACCAAAGCAGGAAGATCGTTCTCCATCGTTTAGGTCTGTAAGAAAACAAGCAGACGGTTCATTTGTGGGATGAATCATGAGCAGGTTCTAGACTCGTATGTGAGAAGATGGAGATACACTTTCTCGGCAGTGGAGGTGGCTTAGACTGGCTAAATAGTATAATTGGTAACCCTCTTCCCACCCAACCAACTTGTAGACATCTCAGCAATCGGATCCCATCATTGCCAACCAGAGGCGGCCCTAGGTAATTTTCAACGGTAAGCAAACAGCATTTTGGCGGCGCCCCTCCTCCCCAACCAATCATTGATATATATTTTCTGTTAGTCGTGGGAGTTCTGTGCGCCATATTTGGTTCAATTCCATCATTGGTGGAGTTCAGAATGCTCTTTGATTGCAGGTGAACCATACATCCCAGTAACGACACTTGCCGCACTTGCTCCCTTTGCCTGGCCCACTTTGGGTCCGGAGGCGTGCCTGAAGACCCTGGCGTGTGCACCAAAAGTCACCTCTTCTCCTGACTTTCTCCTCAGCCATTGGGACCGAGAGAGAGAGAGAGAGAGAGAGAGAGGTGGAGATGCCCACCTTTCCTGAAGGTAGGTGCAAAAACAAAGGAGGGAGCGGAGGTGGGAGATACCTCCAGCCAGAGGGGCTCTCTCTCTCTCTCTCTCTCTCTGGTCCCAATGGCTGAAGAGAAAGTCAGGAGGTGACTTTTGGTGCGCACGCATGCGTGCCGGCGTCATAGATCTCACCAGAATCGCTGGAGGCTCTTCCAAGACATGCTTGGACCCGATAAAACGGGCCCGGTATAATACCAGGGTGTGGTGGTCTTCACCGCCCCCTTGGCCCCACCCAGTGGATTGGGCGAGAGGAGTGAGTGACGCGCGCACGACGGTGGCAACGCGCTCAGCTCGAGAGGATAGGAGACGCGACGAACGATTGAGGACGCTCTGACCTCGCCGCGAGGTGTGTCGCCATGAGATAGAGGTGAAGAAGCACAGGAATCGAGCAGGAGGGACGAAGGCGACAAAGACGCACGGTGGCCATACAAGAGAGTCAAGGGCCCGGCGCGCACTTTTGGGAAGGAACTCGTCCACAGAACACGACAGACAGGGCACAGATAGAGCACAAAGCAACGGATTCCGAGGCCTTCCTCCGGTAAGGCCTGACATGTAAGACAGCCCCAACTTTGGCGTTAAAGCCCATCTCAAGGTGGAGATAACCGGTCGAGGGCATTTACAGAGGCGCCTACTAGCCAGCCACGGCAGCCCTGATGGTCGACGCACAACTACGCACACATGAGTGTTAGAGAGCGCCACACGCCACCGTGCGTAGATACTGTCAGGGCGCGAATGGGAAAGGAGTGTACTGGACGAGCCCCCATGTTGCCAACACTAGGAGAGAAATACCTTCCTTTGAACCCGTTGTATAATGGTACATTTCTCAGATTAGGACTCTGGTGATTGCGATCCCTCTTGAGACCATCTTCCCTCTCCGTCTCATACAATCTTCTACCGCAGTGCTTCTCAACCTTCCTCATGCCCCAACCCCTTCATATGGTTCCTCATGTTGTGGTGACCACCAACCATAATGTTATTTTTGTTGCTACTTCCTAACTGTAGTTTTGCTCCTGTTATGAATTGTCATGTAAATATCTGATAGGCAGGATGTATTTTCAATCACTGGACTGAATTTGGCATAAATACCACATGCACCCAAATTTGAATACTGGTGGGGTTGGGGGGTATTGATTGGGAGTAGGGCTGGGCGGTTTCGTTTGTTAATTTCATAATTCGTTATTAATTCGTATTTAAATTAGCTTACGATCCGATATTGAGCCATGCAAGAGTAATTAAAAATCGAAACGAATTTTTTCAATTTATTTTGTAATTGTTTCGTAACTATTTCGTAATTATTTCCGTATGTTTGGTGCAAGTTTTAGGGTTGTTGTTTGTTTTATCAGTGATAAAAAATAAATTATCACACCAACAGTCAACAACAGAGGGAGAGGGAAGCTTCAGAAGTTCCCCTGTCCCATTTGGAGGGTTTTTTAGCATATTGCGCAATCGCGTCCGCCATTAACGAATCGATTCGTAATTGTTTCGAAATTTTTGTAATTGTTTCGTAATTTTATGAAATTTCGTATATTTCGAACTTTTTTAAAGAAAAATTTCGGAATTCTTTTTAAAAACGAAACGCAAAAACCCCCTAAAAACGAATCGAGTTTAGAAACAAATTTTTCCGTGGTTACCCAGCCCTAATTGGGAGTCGTAGTTGTTGGGATTTATAGTTCACCTACAATCAAAGAGCATTCTGAACTCCACCAGCAATGGAATTGAACCAAACTTGGCACACAGAACGCCCATGACCAAGAGAAAATACTGGAAGGGCTTGGTGGGCATTGGCCTTGTTCACCTACATCCAGAGAGCACAGTAGACACAAACAATGATGGATCTGGCACAAATACTTAATATGCCCAAATATGAACACTGGTGGAGTTTGGGGAAAATAGACCTTGACATTTAGGAGTAGTTGCTGGGATTTATAGTTCACCTACAATCAAAGAGCATTCTGAACTCCACCATGATGGAATTGAACCAAATTGGCACACGGAACTCCCATGACCAACAGAAAATACTGGAAGGGTTTGGTGGGCACTGACCTTGAGTTTGGGAGTGTTAGTTCGCCTACATCCAGAGAGCAGGAGGAGGGTTTTTGGTGGGAGGATTGATGAGACTCAGTGCCGGCCAACTGCAACATTCACACTTGCCTCCAACAGACAAGGGCTCTTTCTCCCTCCCTGGACATCATTCCACAGGTATATAAACCCCACGTGCCGAGTTCCCAACAGACCTTACAAGCCTGCCATAGTTGTGGGCAAAACATCTGGAGAGAATGCTTCTGTAACATGGCCAGACAGCCCGGAAAACTTACAGCAACTCAACCAACAATTCGTGCTTTTTTTTTTTGTTTTGCTACTTTTCTCATGTTTGGAATTTCTCCTTGCCAAACTTTCTCCACTTTATTTGTATCTTACAAAGCAGGAATACATTGTTTTTCTGGCATTTTCTCATGGTAGCAATGTGATCCCTTTTAAGTTTTTCAAAGTAGGAATTACGGTGTTTCCAGCTTTGCAAAATAACAACAAGGGGCCTTCGCATTTCATGACTCAAGGGATTGATAGTTTGGAAGTAGTTCTGCATTCTGTCCGAATGCCATCCCTCTATCTCTATCTTTATCTCTATCTACACACACACACACACACACACACACACACACTTGATAAACCAGCCTGGACATTGAATGCTATTCACGCTTGCCAACTGCAACACTCACACTTGCTTCAAACAGACAAGAGTTCTTTCTCCCACCCTGGCCCTTTTAGATACACAACGCACACACTCCACTGGCCTCATTTCCAACAGACCTCTGAACAAACCTCTGAGGATGCCAGCCAGAGATGTAGGTGAAACGTCAGGAGAGAATGCTACTGGAACATGGACATACAGCCCGAAAACTCACAGCAACCCAATGATTCTGGCCCCGAAACCCTTCCAACACAATGATCAATCTGTGTGACAGCGCGAGTGGTGCCACCTATGTATAAAAGTGTTAGTTGTTAGACTTAAACTGTTGTATCATGCTTAATCCTGCCCCTTTTTACATTGCTTG